ACCATGCACAAAAACTAACTCAAAATGGATCAAAGACTTAAATATAAAATCGAAAACCATAGAGGTCATGGAAGAAAAAGTAGGGACAATGCTAGGAGCCCTAATACATGGCATAAACACAATACAAACCATAAGTAACAATGCACAAGCACCAGAAGAGAGACTAGATAACCTGCAGTTCCTAAAAATCAAACACTTATGCTCATCAAAAGTCTTCACTAAAAGATTAAAAAGACAACCTACAGACTGGGAAAAAATTTTTGGCTATAACAAATCTGATCAGCGTCTAATCTCTAAAATCTACAAGATACTGCCAAACCTCACTCAACAACTAAAAGACAACCCAATTAAAATATGGGCAAAGGATATGAACAGGCACTTTACCAAAGAAGATATTCAGGCGGCTAAGAGACACATGAAGAAATGTTCATGATCATTAGCCATTAGAGAAATGCAAATCAAAACTACAATGAGATATCATCTCACTCCAACAAGGCTAGCATTAATCCAAAAAAACACAAAATAACAAATGCTGGAGAGGTTGCGGAGAGACTACTTATACACTGCTGGTGGGAATGTAAAATGGTAGGAATGTAAAATGGTACAACCACTTTGGAAATTGATTTGGCGCTTCCTTAAAAGCTAGAAATAGAAGTACCATACGATCCAGCTATCCCACTCCTTGGAATATACCCTAGAGAAATAAGAGCCATCACAGGAAGAGATATATGCACACCCATGTTCATTGCAGCACTGTTCACAATAGCAAAAAGATGGAAATAACCCAGATGCCCATCAACGGGCAAATGGATAAACCAATTATGGTATATCCACACAATGGAATACTATGCAACGATAAAGAACAACGATGAAGTCGTGAAACATAACATGGAGGAAACTGGAGGTCAATATGCTGAGTGAATTTAGTCAGTCACAAAAGGACAAATATTGTATAAGACCACTATTATGAGAACTCAAGAAAAGGTTTAAACACAGAAGAAAACATTCTTTGATGGTTACAAGTGTGGGGAGGGAGGGTGACAGTTATTTACTAACAAATAGTTGGTAAGAATTATCTTAGGCAAAGGGAAGGACAGCACACAGGCGAAGTCAACTCAACTGGAGTAAACCAAAGCTAAGACGTTTCCTGAATAAAATCAAACACTTCTAGGGACAGAGTAGCAGGGGTAGAGGTCTAGGGACCATGCTTTCAGGGGTCATCTAGGTCAACTGGCATAAGAACGGTTATTAAGAAAATGATCTGTATCCTACTTTGGTGAGTGGCATCTGGGGTCTTAAAAGCTTGCTAGCAGCCATCTAAGATGCATCAATTGGTCCCAACCACCTGGAGTAAAGGAGAATGAAGAATACCAAAGACACAAGGAAAGTATTAGCCCAAGAGACAGAAAGGGCCACATAAACCAGATCAGCTTGAGACCAGAAGAACTAGATGGTGCCCAGCTACCACCAATGACCACCCTGACAGGGAATACAATAGAGAGCCCTGGATTGAGCAGGAGAAAGGTAGAGTACAGAGCGCAAATTCTAGTCAAAAGACCAGACTTAATGGTCTGACTGAGACTGGAGGAACCCCAGAGAGCATGGCCCCTGGATTCTCTATGAGCCCAGAACTAAAACAATATCCAAGTCCAACTCTTCAGACAAGGATTGGACTGGACTGTGGGACATAAAGTGATACTTGTGAGGAGTGTGCCTCTTAGCTCAAGTAGATACAAGAGACTAAATGGGCAGCTCCTATCCGGAGGTGCAATGGGAAGGCAGAGCAGGTTAGGAGCTGGTTGAACGCACATGCGGAATCAGGGGTAGAAAGGAAGACTGTGCTGTCACAGGATGGGGAAAGCAATTATGGTCACATAAGAATGTATGTACAAATTTTTGTATGGAAATAATAAAAAAAAAAAAAAAAAAAGCCACTCGCCAGGAAAAGAAAAAAAAAAGGTAATGCTTTTGTTGGTATGTATTTTTTGGTATATCCAGTATCTACGAATACACTACTTAGAAGGATTCTTTTAAAGTTGGCTTTAAAAAATCACATTGTCTTGATGAACGTAAATACATACACACACATTATATTGACAATACCTATCATTAGGTATTGGACATTAGGGGGACATTAGTGTGTCTCAACATATATATTTTAATCAGTAATTCACAATTATAATGTAAACCATTTCACTGCCATCATAATCAGGTCATGTGAATTTAACAAGAACATGAATAATTGTTTCTAAGCTTAAGAGGAAAAACAAGAAAGAAAGAAAAAAAAACTAATTTTTCTGGGATGAAACTTTATAAAAAAATAAATTGGACTCAGTTTTTAATACCACGACTTACAAAGAAACCCCTTATTACACATGGAAATACCTTTGCAGCAGATACTAATGCCTCTTTATTCCGCTGCCTTTCTTCCTCCAAACATTTTTCTAATATTTCCTGTAAATGACAAGACAGCTGGGTAGAAACTAAACATATTAAGTGAGGTAACAGAACATATTCTTTCCACATTCTGAGCACAATTAAAATATTACCTTCTGTTCTTGAGATTGTTCAATCAATGCTTCCTTTATTTTTTCTTTTAACAGTTCTTTCTCTGTATCTAGTATTTCAAGGAGTCTCTGATGCTACAAGGAAAGATAATTGAATTAGGATTACGACTCTGACACAGATAATCTACCAAAAAGGAGTACAGCTGGTGGAATTCAAATGCCTAGAACTACTGAAGTCGTGACTAGAGGAAACAATCAGAAGTTTGCCAAAATGAAGGCTTAGGAGTCAAAGAACACTGAATTTATCTTTCTGCAATCAGCTGAGACACATTTTTAAGCCCCCAAACTCAACGAAGTATACAACATAAAACCTAACTGTACAACAACTATTCCAAATTGGAAGATGAATCAGAAACACAATTTCTTTTCCCAAAATTAAATTTAAAAAAAAATTACTCACTGAAATGATTATTATTAGCTTGCAGCAACAGAAGCATTCAGATGGTAACTGAGAAAAACCTTGAACGACTATCATAACAGATTATTTGTGTTTCTGGGAAAGTGATGTTGAAGAAAATGAAAGATTTATTAGTTATTGTTGTCATGCCAGGATTTTACCAGTTTCTATAAACGAACTATGAAAGCAGTCAAAGGAATATGGTAATGATAAGAAATAGGAAAGGGTACAGAGTTCATGTATTTATTTTTATTTCAATGTGCTAAGGAAAAAGCACACAGAACCATCAGCCAATTATCATGGATTAGGTACTCAGAGTTTGAATAGAGCTTTCTAAGAAAATACAACTTCTGTAGCCTCAATAACCCCAATATAGATGAGCCTGATACTCTTTTGGAACACATTAAGTCTTATGTGGAAACAAACTCCAAAACAAAATATATATTGCTACTCACATAGATTTCTCAATCAGTTACTAAAGGCAAATGAGATATTTTCTCAGATTTAGAATGCTATTTATGTCTCCTTTAAATATGAACTTATTCTGATACCCAATATTTTAAAATAGATCTATGTCTTTCAAAGTTGTTCTAATTTAAAACATTTTTTAGGCAGGCAGTCTCCACTGAGAGTAAGTGACCGAACAGTCCATGTCTAGTTAAAATAATCTATTATTCCTGTTTTTAATTATAGTATTACTTTTTATCTATGTTTTTCAAGAAAGTAAGAAAAATCACATGAAAGATGTGGTTTTTCCTTAAAAACAAATCCAAACTTTGATACAGATCATGAAATGATTATGAGTAGTTATTGGTACCATATGAATTTGTGAAAGGCAGCGGACTAACAAATGAGTATACTTACCACATGATGTATAATAACTTAGATTTCAATTTTGTATTCTATTTAAGTATGATAGATAGATAAACAATTTCATAGGATCAGAAATAATACCTAATCCTATTTAGAATACACATATGGGAAAATATGCAAAGATATATACCAGGTAAATAGTTGGACTTAAAAATCATAAACGCAATTCTCATATGAGGCTGAAATATTCTATTTAGGCTTGGGGGATAAACATAACAAACACAGTATTAACTAAAATTTTTGGAATTAAAGTACAGAATAAAATTTTCAGTGAGTCATTAATTTTTTTAAAAATTCTTCTTAAAATAACTTATGTTAATAAGTCAGACTAATGGAAAACATTAAGTAATTAATTACAAGCAGGCCAAGTTTCTCTAGAGGTTCAATAAGAACTAAAGTCAGAGGGAACATTTGTTCAAATGCCCGTGCAACATTTAGAAAATTCATTTTGAATGTCATTTCTTAATTCTGACAGTGAGCTAAAATAAAAGACTATTACTGAGCTTGCATGTGCACGCATAAACATGAAATTACTGTTTGAAAGAAGAATTCTACTGACAATATACCTTAGGTAAAATCATTCATCTACTTAAGAGAAAATATAGTTAGGCTATTGGCTTTTCTTATATGTAGATAACATAGATGATGATAGCTAACTTTATTTTTTTTTGAGCACTTTTAAAGTACTAGGCTCTGTTAAAAGTACTGGCTCCATGTTAAATCCTCAGAACAAACTGCTGAAGCAGACACTATTCTTCCTCATTTTCAGATGAATAATCAGAGATTGTGAGAGGCTAAGTAACATGCCAGGTCTCTGATGAATCACTTCAGCAATAATCATATCAATATATTCATTATCAGAGGTAGTAATACCTAATAGCTAGAAACAGCGCCAGTATTACCTAGTTATTACCTAGTAACTGTTGTTGTTGTTAGATATCCTTGAGTCGGTTCTGATCCAAGCCACAATATTTTCAATTGCCTCATATGCATGTGAAAACTGGCCAATGAACAAGAAAGACCGAAGAAGAGTTGTTGCCTTTGAACTGTGGTGTTGGCAAAGAATACTGAATATACCACGGACTGCCAGAAGAACAAACAAGTCTGTCATGGAAATAATACAGCTTGAATGCTTCTTCGAAGCAAGGATGGTGAGACTTCATCTCACATACTTTGGATATATTATCAGGAAGGACCAGTCCCTGGAGAAGGACATCATGCTTGGTAAAGCAGAGGATGAGTGAAAAAGAGGAAGAACCTCAATGAGGGATTGACGTGGTGGCTGAAACAATGGGCTCAAATGTAACGATTGTGAGGATGGTGGAGGACCAGGCAGTGTTTCATTCTGTTGTACATAGAGTTGCTATGAGTCGGAATGGACTCGACAGCACCTAACACAATAACAATTTCCTTTTTGAACTCAAAAACACTGTGTTGATCTCTTTCTATGTAAACATAACTCTATTATTATTTTTCTTTTGTTAAATTTATTATTTATTTTGTTGCTGTTGTTATTTATCATTCTCCTATTTATAGACATTTATGTTTTTTTTCAACTTATCCCTTTAAAAAAATCTTGAATTTTATGCATACGTTTTTTGTGAACTTGCATAATTACAGTCTTATGAGAAATTCCTAGGGACAATATTAACAAGATGGAGATTGCACAAGTCTTAAATTTTGATGCATAATCTCAAACTGTACTCCAGAAAGAGTATAGAAAATCACATCATTATTAACAATAGCAGGACAATGGACAGGGAGACTGCCCTAGAGAACAGAACCACGGGCTACCAGGTCAGCTAACTAAGGAAACTGTTGCACTCTCAGGATAGGGAATCTTTGCTGCTCCTGTCCAGTGATATTTGATAACTGGTATCTGATACACGATCACTGCTGTGTATTTCACCATTCTCCCCGTATGCAAATAGAATTTTTGTTGCAGTTACTCCGTTCCTTCTCTTTTCTTTCTGAATTAATTAATTATAGTTTTTGAGGGCTGGGGGTTTTACCATTTCTACATTACCTCTATTTCTTCAAAGTACCTTTTTGTTTGCTTGAGTCAGTAATTTTCTCATTTGAGATGTCTCCCCAATGTTTGGTAATCTTTTTCTGTCCATTCATATTTAAATTTCAGGTACCAAAATTCAAATTGGAAATTCTGTGTATGTGAACGGGCTTCACAGGGGGCATAAAAGGTAACGCGCTGGCTTTTTCATGGTGGTGGTGGTAGTGGTGGGATTCCTGAATGCCAATTTTATAAGTATTTTCTCTTGGGCTAGTCTTTTTGCCTAGAAAATAAAATTCCCAATCTCCTAATTGGCACTATAAACAAAACATCCAGCATTCTAAGAGTTAGGCGGGGTGAGAGAACTGGAGAGCTCATAGTTCAGTAATAGACTTCAGTTTAGATATCCTTGTTTTCAGTTCCTTACTTTACTCCAGTCCTTGAGGAGTTTAGAGATTCTCTGGTTCAATTTCCCATTTGTTCTGCTAAGGTATACAATTAGTCTCCTAGCTAAGAATGGTGTACAAGGGATCTGGGAACTTCACTGCACATCACATGGACTATCAACCATTCCTCCTGTTTTCAGAGCTATACAGGACCTCCAAGGAGTCCTGGTGGTGCAATGGTTAACCATTTGCCTGCTAATCGAAGGTCAGTGGTCCAAACCTAAAGCCGCTCCATCGGAGAAAAGACCTGGCAATCTGATCCCATAAAAATTACAGCCTATACCACCACTGACTGCTCTGACAGGGATCACAACAGAGGTTCCAGGATAGAGCTGGAGAAAAATGTAGAACAAAATTGTAACTCACAAAAAAAGACCAGAGTTACTGGCCTGACAGACTGGAGAAACCCCGAGAGTATGGCCCCCAGACACCCTTTTAGCTCAGTGGTGAAGTTACCTCCGAGGTTCACTGTTCAGCCTGGGAGTGGACAGCCCCGTAAAACCAAATGAGACTGACGAGGTACAGGAGTGCAGTGACAAGGGCCAGAAGGCAGAAGGGGACAAGGAAGCTGGTGATAAGGAACCCAAGGTTGAGTAAGGATATTGTTGATGTGTTGTGAGATTGTTAACCATTGTCATAGGGGCAACATTTGTAGTAACTGTTAAATGAGAAACTATTTTGTTCTGTAAGCCTTCATCTTAAGTGAGAATAACAGCACAATTGGAAGAGTGTAGTCAATGTCACTGAACTGTGTATGCAGAAATTTTTGAAACGGTGTATCTTTGGCTATGTGTATTTTCACCAAAAGAAAAAAAAAAAAGGGTTGAGAATTTAGAGGGTTAATATGTTGTGGGGTTGTTAACCAATGTCATAAAACAACATGTGTACTACTGTTTCATGAGAAACTATTTGTTCTGTAAGCCTTCACCTGAAGTACAATAAAATATAAAAAAGAAAGAAAGAAAGAAATACATAGAGAACAAAGGATGGTAGAATCTCAGCAATTTGAAACATTATCTGGTAATGACATTAAAAACACAAGTTTATTGCTGTTTAAAAAAAAAAAAAATTACAGCCTAGAAAACCCGATGTGGCAGTTCTACGCTGTCACATGGGGTCACTATGAGTCAGAATCAATTCAACGGTACCTAACAACAACAACACAGGACTGCCACTTTAAGAGGTACCTAGTGCCTCTACTTCCTGAGGCTTTCTACGGTTTTGCAGGGCAAATCAGCTTGCTTTATAGGTTTTACCTCAGCAGGGTAAGACAGAACTTCTTCAACTTGTTTACTTTGGATACGTGACCAGGAAAGATCAATCGCATGAAAAACACATCATGCTTGGTAAA